TTGTGAAAGCGAAACTACTTTGTTTGGCCTTCCAAAAGAGGATGAAATACATCAACTTCACGCTATGGATCGCCAGATCGGCTTTCACTGTGGGCGAAGCGGAGTCCAGCCCGGGGTCGTCACATGTGGTTGCCGCAAGCCCGCAGGCCTCCGCTCACTCAAACTCGCCGTGTGTGATGCTGTGCATTTCGTTGTGAAAGCGAAACTACTTTGTTTGGCCGAGGACACGAGGACACGACTAGAAATCAGTGGTTAAGTTGTATTTACAACACTGTTCCAGAACAGTTCAACCCAAATATGTGCAGCACAGAGTAGACTATAATGCCGGCTGTTCTGACTCACAGACTGTAAGTACGTTTTTTATATATAAAGAATTTGCCACTGACGATTCAAATGCGAGTTTTGAGCAGTGTAGAGTAGCGCTTGTTTTTTGTAATTTCTCCGATCACAAATGCAGACATGTGTTATGTTTACGTGGCGCGATGCAATGCGTAAAAAGATAGTATAAGTCATTATAATCCAAAATTATGTCCCCACTGGATGCAACAAATGCCTAGTTTATAATGGGTTTTAATGTTTTTGTCTTGTCGCGCCGGAACACAGGGCATCATCACAGTATGGTAGGGGCGTAACATTTCCGTCACACGCTTGAGGTATTTGGCCAATCACAACGCACTGGATAGCTGGCCAATCAGAGCACACCTCACTTTTCAGACCAATGAGCTTTGTAAAAATCTGCGTGTTTCAGAAAGGCTGGGCATAGAGGAGAAACAATAATGTACAGTATGTGGAAAATAATGTTTTTTTTTTTTTTACCTTTAAACCGCATAAACACATTTCATTACACCAAATACACAACATAATGTTCTTTTTAGCAACATCATATGACCCCTTTAACCTGATGAGGATTTTTAGCCTCTGTAGATGTTGTAACTACAACTATATTACACTGGGGAAAACCCCTTTTTTCATTGACATTTAAACAGATAGTTCACCCAAAAATGAAAATTACCCCATTATTTACTCACCCTCAAGCCATCCTAGTTATAGATGACTTTCTTCTTTCAGATGAATACAATCGGTGTATAGTAAAAAAATGTCCTGGCTCTTCCAAGCTTTATAATGGCAATGAATGGGTGTTAAGATTTTGAAGTCCAATAAAGCGCATAAATCCGTCATAAAAAGTGCTCCACAAGGCTCCAGGTGGTTAATAAAGGCCTTCTGAAGCAAGTGATGCATTTGTGTAAGGAAAATATCCATATTTAACGAGAGAGTGATGTTCCAGCAGATAACGTAGGATGTAGGCATAGAGTTATGCATATTAGAGTTATGTAACCACCTTATTCCTAAACGCGGAAGTAATCCTATGGGCGAGACTTCTGGTTCATTAGCCGCTACAAACCAGTGTGTTCATAATTAAGATAATGCACTAAAATAATATGGTAAGACACACCAATTTGCAACATCAAGCAGCAAAACAAACAAAAAATAGCTGGAAGCAAATGAGACTGGAAGCAAGTCCCATAGAATTTACAAATGGCCACGCCCATATTTACAGGAAGAATAAGGTGGATGCATATTAGAATTTCATGGACTGCTAAGTCAAATTTACAGTGGTGATTTATTCAGTACACATGATCAGTGACATTGCTCGAGTTTCTAAGGCCAAGGAATGCTACTGCATTATTACTTAAAAGTTATATACTTTTATTATCTATCTTTCACATTGCCTTTTGGCAATAAAAGGCTTTTTAACCTCCAGAGCAGTTGGGAAATACATATAGGATGGTGTGCAAAGCAAACTACGATGCAAACAGCATTTTAGAGTACAATGCAGGGTTGAACTAAACAATACATCAGAAGAAAAAAAAACGGTTGCGGTGATCTTTTGGGTTATATTCAACCCAGTTATTCTGCACTGGCTTTTATTTGTTTATTGCTTTATTGATTGATTATGAAATTCCAGAAACGTCTTATGATGATCAGTATTGAGATGATCAGGTTGAAGAAGCAAATGGTGCTTGTTTAACAAAGCGTGTGTTTTTAAAACATTATAATTAAATAATTAATGAATAACGAATGGGTACACTCTAAAAAATGATGGGTTGTTTCAACCCAACTTTGGGTCAAATATGGACTAACCCAACTGTTGGGTTAAATTTTTACATTAAATTTTTAACCCAAAAGTTGGGTTGGTCCGTATTTGACCCAAAGTTGGGTTGAAATAACCCAGCATTTTTTAGAGTGTATTATCTATACATTCATAGAGTTTTCTCTGTGATTTATAACACTGTTTTGGTGGGTCAGGATGTCAAAAAGTAATGCTAATAAAGGGAAAAATACTACTTGATTAAAAGGATAGATTCATTTTACTAGACAACACAAAAACATGCAGTAGATGGTTAAAAATCCCTTTGTCTTTCAGAAATGTATGCTGTTGAGGTCTACAGCTGCCAATGGTTTACTTTGCTTTATAGTGTTCACCAAGTTGCCTGTGTAATAATAAATGACTCATTAGAAGGCACAAAACACGTTTTATAGTTCTCCTTTTTTTTCTGCACAAGGACAGCATTTCTTAGCCCTGTCATGTTGCATTTGGATGGCTCTCATGTTGCTGAGAGCTAAGAAAACATTACGGTAGTCAACTCGTAAGTATTTGATTTACCCAGCTCTGAAGATGGATTTAATTTTAATGGTTTAAGAAGCGGTGTTCTGCCTACATTAAACAATTATAACATTTAAAAATAACCAATGTTAAGGGTCTGGGATATGTAATTCATGATGATGCTTAAATGGACAATGGGTGTAATTATTGTGCATGGAAAACAAAACAGCTCTAATTTACCATAATAATCAGACATGCAAAGCTATGAGAAACTAGCTACCAAGCATAACAAATGATGTGGGATGTTTCAGCATTTGTTAAAGACTACATGTTTACTCAAATCTGTTTTTAGGTTGTAGGTAGCTGTAGGCCTATTCCGGTTTACTGTTAGTTCTACAGTTTTTTCCATAACAAAACCATTTTGAATGAATTTGAGTTGTGTTTGCTTGTGCAAAACTCTCCACTATGATGCTATAGGTTGTATTTGGGGAGGTTGTTTATTAGTTCATTCAATCATACAGACTAGGGTTGCTAACTTCAGAAAAGGAAAATACGGGACAATCACATATATATATATATATATATATATGCAAATTAGCATGTTGGTCAAATCGAAAGAATCTGTACCTGTGTCTTTATTATTCTGATATTTAGATATGTCATTTATAGATATAAACTGTAATTTATATCCTATGAAAACAAAATTGAATTGCATCTTCGAGCAACACACATTAGTGGTGTTTGGTTTCTGAATGAATCAGAGTTGAATTAATGAATTAATCTGTTGGGTGAATAATTAACTGACTCACAAACACAGTCACTTGCTACCCACTAGCGTAATCATGGAACTTGCCTAAAGACTCACAAGGCATGTCAAAAATAAAGTGTGACCACAAATGAAGAATTTCCACAACCTGTGGCCACATTTTAGTCACTTATTCCTTTGTTTTAGGTCAAATGTGGCCATGTTTTACTAAATTCTTCTCTTGTTGGTGATTTTAACCAGGGGGAATGCATCAAACTATCAAAACATTTCTTAGTAAGCAGTAATTAGCTTGCAAACACGGTTAGCATTTTCTAACTTGTTTACCCTAACCTGAAAAATCCTTAATTCCGAAGGGCCCTTTGAAGTGGCCAAGTTTTGAATTCTTCGGTATGGAACAACCCTTCAATATTGGTGGCCATGATTAATTTATCTCATTCAGAACACAGAAATAGTTGCTTTTTCAAACTCACTTTATCCAGAAAACATTTGAAGTAAAGCCATAACCACACCTCTGAATCTCCCTGCTGTCTCAATTAGCAGCCGCTAATCTGAAGCATTATTTCAGGTTCTAATGGCGCCTTAATAATGAACAGCGTTGTCCAGCTTTACTAGTAATGACACAGTGTTGTTTCATGTCTGTCTCTCTCTCTCTCTCTGTGTGTTTCAGGCTCTCTTCTCTCATTGATTACGGAGCTGGGCGCTAAGAGAAAGTTCACTGACTGAAGGTAAGTGTATTTATTGCATCGCTTTGACAATGAAATCGGCCAGGGTCATTGATTTTTCGTCTCTCTCACACTGTTTTTTTTTATTTGGTGGACTTGTGAGCAAGTTGATTACAGATAAAACACGTAGGAGAACTGGTGGCGCAATCGAGAAAAATGGTTTGTTAGAGGTGAGGTGCAATAAATGAGCCCAGCAGATGTTTCTGGATGTTGGCAGTGGTTGTAGCACGCTTTGCTTATTTAGACTCTAGCCATGCTAACTCTTCAGAGAGCAGCACATGCGACACTAATCCCAATAGGCTCCAGAGGTAAAGTAACATGATAATGTGATGCTTCTTTCTGTTGTTCTGTTGTCTCGTGTTTTGGTATAAAAACACTGGCTGCATTCCATTTTTCCATCCTTGTTTTTTTGAGCGTGATGGGCACGCTTAAATAAAAGTAGAGTAAAATGTGTCTGTAGGCCCCCTGTGGCCCTTTTGTTTCTTTTCCCAAAACACTGCAGGTTTATTGCCAGTTCTGCAGTTTTCCTGAAACTAAATAAATAAATGAAACACATTTTTAAAGAATATCACGTGTGTGCTTGTGTGAAATTCTCCACTATGATGTTAAGTTATACTTGGGGTTGTCAGGGCCACTAGTCAGAGTCAGTCGAAATAAAAAAGAAAACAAATTATTGTCGGGGTAATCTGTCTAAATTCTCAGATTATGATTCCATCTAGTCGGAGTGTATCAAACATGTTTGATATTTTGAGTCGAGTTTAGAGGAAATCTCACAGCGTATGACACTCCACTGTTCTGCGCATTAGATTTTTTGCTTTAAAAAGTAACGTTTGGCGGCACAGTCTAAACAAGTCTTATGGTTTAATGTACTAAAACAATGACATGGGCTGATTTATTTCATGTTTTAGCTGAAACTCATTTAACTCTTTTATGGAAGTGTTTGTGCAAATGTATGTTTTGGATATATCTATCCTATTTTTGCAATTATTGATTTGTTTTAACTCTTTAAATGTCTGTATTGATATAGTAAGTAACTTAATTTTGGAAAAATGGTTTGTTTCAATTAGTACAAGTGGGAAAATGTGTAGTTAAGATGCTGTCAATAGATAACGTGATGATAGTGGATGTTGCGTTTTGAGCAGAAAGAAACTAGTTTATTGTTGGCACAGTAGGGATGTAACGATTCACTCAACTCACGATTTTGATTTCACGATTCGATTCGATTCACGATTATTATTTTTTTTTTTAACAAAATGAGATTTAAGACAAATTATAAATGAAATGTGTCCTTTTGTTATTGCTTGGACAAAACGCTGCACATTTCTTTGTGAAATTGAAATATAACACTATAATAATATACTAATATAGCACTTGCATATTACTGTTCTTTTGTTAGTTTTGATTGCTTCTGTTGTCCTCATTTGTAAGTTGCTTTGGACAAAAGTCGTTTTGCTAAATGACAAAATTTAAATATAATGTAAATGTAAATAACAAAACAAAATTGACATTTTAAAACAAGCCCCAAATCAAATAAATAAGTAACACAAATAAAATAAATATATTCATATAAACAAAATAAGGCTTTGTCTGTGCTGTGTAAAATTAAAGGCAACCACTGCATTTTAATCCTGATCCAAACAAAGATGCAGCATACATGCAACATGAGCAGTTTTTAATCTAAATTAGATTGTATAATTTTGAAATCTGAAGCAAAAACAGAATGGTTTGACTTCAGTTTTGTGAAACTATACATACAAAATATCTGCATGAAGCAGCAGACGAGCTGAATGAGACGCAGATTCACTCTCTGCCAACAGGTAAAGAGTTTCCTTGCTTTCCGCTGTAAGCAAAGCAGCGCTGAACTTATGAACTTTAATATGCATTATACAGAGGCAAGATGAAAAGAAAAAATACCATCTAAACTTTTCTAAAGACAGTCAGTTCCCCTCAGACATGCATTCATATAAACTCCTACCCCTAAATGAATCGCGATTTGTTTAGCATCTCAACCCATTTGAATCGTCACATATTTGAATCGATTTTCAACCGGCTCGCGGTTAATCGTTACATCCCTATAGCACAGTAAATCTTCGACCTCTGTTGTTGAGTGAAGTTGGTGCTGTTTTTTATGGAGCCAGATCGGCCTCAAAAATAACACATTTGCAAAACAAAATTCATATGGTGCCCTGGACTGGCCACTTGAGGGCGCTCTGTCTGTTCTATGTTGTATGTGTTAAACTCCATTTCCCATAGTCCCCTGCTTTAATTCTGTTCTGATCAGTAGCACCTGTTATCATTTACTCATTATCCCTGCTATATATACCATGCTCACTCTGTCTGTCATTGCGTCTGGATTACATTGTCTTCTTGGTTGGTGTTGTCGGTGTCAGGTTTCGGATTACATTTTGCAACGTTTTGTTCTGTTTTGTCCTGTTATTAATTGCAATAAACTGCACATGGAACTTACCCTGTTTCCTCCTGGCATTGCGTGACAAAAGCAAGCGGCTGCTGCGTGCATGGTTTGGTATTGTAATAACCCGGCAGTGAGCGCTAGCAGCCAGGTGTATTATGGGTATTTGTTTAGAGTTGATTTATGTGTTAATTAAGCAAGATGGTTGAGTTTTTGCGTTAGGAATGTTATTTGTGTTTATGTTCAAGTTATTTCGGGTGGGTTTGGTTCATTTACTGCCTTGTTATAAAAAGTGTGGCTGTCACCGTCATGGAGAGAGATGTGTAGGGGAGGCACTTGGCGATATGACCTTACTTGTGAATGTTCTTATTCTGTATTTAGAATTAAAGGAGAAAGATGACGGCATTGCGCCCTGCTGGAATGTTCTGTGTGTGTGCTCCAGTTCACAGAGACACCCAGGGTTTTGCGGTGTATAGGAAGCGAATGCTCACACTCTCCAGTAACCAAAATGTAAAGTCTGTAAGTGTAGATCGATATAGTAACCTTTATAATTACTATTTTGAAATGTATAACTCATTAACCACTTACTGTGCTCCCCTATTTTTGAGCATTTTCTGAAAAACGACATACCCAAATAAAAATGTCTGTAGCTCTTGAACCCTAGTAGTATCAGGTTCGCAGTAACTTTTGATCAGGCATTAAAAACGGCTATCACCACCGAAGGGAGATTTCTAACACACAGCGGAGAGATTTCAGCATGGAGGATGAAAACCACACTCAACGAGTGAGTAAAGTCGTTTTTTATCTGATGGCATTTTCTTATGATTATAGCTGGTCGCAATGGTAACTTTAGAACCCACTGACTACAAATCGTATTTAAAATTATGCAATAGTTTAGCATCGAAATCGTTGTTTTACTGATTGTTTGTCGCCCATTCATCCTGTGATTACTAAAGTCTTCCTACGAACACCAGCTATATTATAAGAAAGCTGAAAAATACCACACACAAATTCAAAGCAGTCCACGCATGTGTGATGATTTGCAAATGCAGATTCAACTATCCATAAATACATGTACCATTATTCATAAATGTGTGATGGAAATTAATTCAAGAAATGTATATATACATATTTGTGTAAACATTTAAAATTTATTTAGGTAAGATGCATTTGTGTGAGCATTTGGGGAAATATTTATGCTTTTACTTGTGTATTTATGAATTGTGTTTTGAATTTACGAATCGGATTTTGTAAATGTAAATTGTGCTGTGCATTTATGAATTTTGTTTTGCAAATGTGTTATTTTTGAGGCCGATCTGGCTCCATAGTTTTTACTACTCAACAGTTTTGGTTTTAGACTGGTTTTATTAATAATCTTTATTTTTGTTTACGCTTTTATACGCTATTTATTATGTACACAGCTTCTAAGGAGGCACCGTTTTCAACTAAAAACGAAAACTTTTTTCTGCGTTTTGGCTATTCATTTATTCGACAACACGTTTTGGGAGCCTGAAAATGCAAACATTTGAAAACGGGTTTCACAATGCACATTTTTGGAAATGATACTGTTATTGTCTCCGTTTAATCTATAAAAAAGCTAATTTGTGAAAACGGTGACATCATATGCATACGAATTACACATTCAGTCAATAGGTGTAGCTGCATAGTGCTTCTTTACAAGTGATATCGCCAACTACGGATCTGGCATGCATAATACAGCTTTTTATTTTGTCATGTCTGCAGATCTATGTGAACGGGGATCGTTTTGACAGCGCTGTTGTCTGTACACAACATTTTTCAAAAATGCAAAGGAAAACCTTTTTTATATTGTAGTACATTGTTGTCATGTAAATGTACTCTAAATAACATCATACTGAATTTGTTTTTGTTTTTCCAACTCTGGTTCGTTATCACAGTGTACTTGCTGACTCTCTCTCTTTCTCACACACACACACACACACACACACACTCACACTCATGTTTGTTTTTATGGTTTATGGGGACTCTCCATAGGCGTAATGGTTTTTATACTGTACAAACCGTATTTTCTATTGCCCTACACCAACCCTATCCCTAAACCTACCCCTCATCCTCATATACCACATAAACATGCGCGCGCACACACACACACACACACACACACACATGTCTGGTTTGCTATCCTTGTGGGGACTCTCCATAGGCGTAATGGTTTTTCTACTGTACAGACCGTATATTCTATTGCCCTACACCAACCCTCCACCTAAACCTACCCCTTACAGGAAACTTTCTGCATTTTTAGATTTTCAAAAAACGTAATTCTTTGTGATTTATTAGCTTGTTTACCCATGGGTCCCCACCGTGACATGAGTCTGTGTTTATTCAGTTTTAAGTCCCCACCAGAATAGAAAAACAGGTACACACACAACTTTAGAGAGAGTGAAGCACATAGACACACAGTATTAATGTAAATCGTTATGTAAATAGTTAACAGTTATATAGTTATGATGCACAAACAGTGTGACGTGACAGATACTTTAAAACCCAGACATAGTCATGGGGTTGTTCAAATCCTAACCCCTAAGTACACACAGTATTAGCAATAGCAAGCACC